TGGCCATGGATCGGTCGAAACACAGCAAGACGCCTCGCTCTCCAGCAGCAAACAGGAGCTCGAGCTTCTCAGCGTACCAAAGCAACTCGATTGGTCCCGCATTCTGGTGAAGTGGAGCTACCAACTCCCCAGAATTGAGAGACCACAGCAACACCAAACCATCCAGTCCAGCTGTAGCCACGTAAGCAGGAGGCACGTACGCCAACGCGAGCACATCCATCGTGTGATGCTGTCGTCTACGACGTCGTCTGCCGCGTCTTGCGTATTCTAACTCCTCGCTGTCGTCGTCGTCGCTATCTGGAGGTAGAATGTGCACTGGTAGTGACTCGGACTCGTCGTTTTTGTCAGCCCAGACGAAGAGCTGACGGTCCCAGCCTACGCAGCACACGAATCTCTGGCAGATAAAGTCCCCCATACCTACACGCAAGTTGCGTTCGATGTCCATGATGCTGGTCACTTCGTGTTGTCGATAGCGAGACGTCTCGGGCTCTCGAGTGGTTCGTGGAGGTCTGGGACTTGACGCAGTGTCTCCAGGTTGAGCTCGAGGCGTTGAGTTGAGTGGAGGGACTGGTGTCGGGTGCTCTTGGCCTTGCTGGAGACGCACTCGTGTCGGAGACGGCAGTTCCGTCTGCGCCATCAACGCAGAGTTGCCTCGTCGACCTTCGTGGTCCATCCCGAAGGATGCTGGCAGCAGCATAATGTCCCGTGGCTTGCGCTTTCGAGGCGCATTGGTCATCGCAGCAGCTTCGTCAGAGCTTCCAGACGGATCGTCAGGTAGCGGCGCAGTGCTGGCAACTGTTCCAGCTGTGGCAGGTGTAGTCGTGAACAATAAAGAGCTCACGACTTGGGGTTCTTTCTTGTGGAATTGCTTCACCAATGCGCCGTTGCTGAAATTCCACATCTTGAGTTGCTCGCCGTCGTGTGAACCGGTAAGAAGACGTCGTCCCGCATGGTCAAAGGCGATACTGGTCACTGGATTGGAGTCGTGCGGACGTGCGAAGCTTGAGATTTCTTCTCCGGTTTCTGCGCTCCAGGTCTTAATGGCAGACTCCGCGTCCATCGCAGCCGTCACTACCTGATGAAACACGCTGTTGTAGCAGGCCAGACGCACAGGACGCTCCACGGGAGTACCACCGCGTAGTTTAGCCTTCCTAGTGCTAGAGGAGATATCTGAGCTTCATCCAAGTCATCAAGAC